GAGCAGACTGAAATTTAAAGGCGGATTCAGTTCAGCCGGCTCAATATTCATCTAGACGCCATGCACGCACTTGCCTGTCAGCGCACGTCATGAACATCAATTTTTGGGATTGATAAGATGTTGGGCGATATTTTTGAATAACGAGCGGAGCGGGAGGCGACAAGCAAAGGGTGGAGCGGCCAGTGCATGAGTGTACATGGGGCCTACAAACAGTTCGCCTAAAATATGTCAATCGGAATGTAAATCATTGCGTAATTTGCATTTTGAGCATTTGCTTCAATTGAATGATGCCGACTTTGTTGTTGTTGTTGTGGTTGTTGTTATTGTGGTTGTTGTTGTTGTTGCTGTTGTTGTTTCTGTTTCTGTTGCTGGCAACACGTGAATTATGGCGGCAATTTTGACAATTGCCAAGCTCCGGGCCACGCCTACCACCCAACAGCACCGTATCCGGTACGTGCATGTGTGTCTCTGTGTGTGTGTGTGTGCATTGTATAACTTGCGCTCTCTTCACGTGCACATAAATCGTACTCGTTGTTATCCAACATAATTGTGTTGACATGTGGATGCTAATTTAAATGGATTTTACTACAATTTCAATGCCTTGCCATTCAGTTAAGTACGCTCCTGCTCAATGCTATCGAGAGATGTGATATGTTTAAGCAGCTTCACACATTGAATCATTAAATCAGTGTGAAAAGAAAGTTATAATACTGCAAACAACAACAGCACAACATGTATACATATGTACATATGTCAGTATAAACTAAGAATGAACTAATTTGTTATCATAGCTGCCAGTGATGCCAATTCGGCTTTTTCCCCATTAGGCAACGTCTTTCTATTTCTTATAGATGATATATTTATTGTGACCATACTTTTCACACCGATTTTATGTCATTCCATTTTTGACATTTATAAAACTTTTTTTCGAGACCCTGCATAGTTGGCAACACCACTAGCTCCTGGCTCCAGAGCAACTTCGAAATAAACCAGTTGCTCGCAAGCTAACTTGCTCTTAATATTCTTAACGGAATTCTAACGAAACTTGCTCTTTGCCATGATTAAATCTATATGCGAACCCATATAACTTGTATGACGTCATGCTATTGAGATAGTCGTGTCTAAACACTCACAATAATAATTTTTTTGATAGATATTTAATGATGATATTTCTTGAATATCTATTATCTATTAATGGAAGCATAGTACTTCAGAATACCTAATTGAATTTGAAAAATAATAATATTATATTCTCAAATAATATTATAGATAATATTATATATTAACTTTCACAAACTATAGCCGAGGAGCACAGTTTTTGAACTTAAGTTTAAGATAATTTGTGTATCTATACATATTTTCAAAATAAACAAAATTTTTTTTCAGAAGTAAAGTAACTGATGTAATTACTATGTTTTAAAGCTGTTCCTATTTCAAATGCGATCACGGTAAGTCAAAACCGAGGTTCATCATTATATTTAGACTTTATCAAATCTCAAGCTGTAAGCCACTATAACTACATCTTAAATCGAGACTTATTTATTCCTTATTCTATTTCCCTTTAAGCTTATCAGATTCCTATGCGGGCTGAGGATATTATCTGTTCAGCCTACGTCAGTTGTTGTTGAAAGTCAGATTAGATACAAGCTGATTGGGATGCGTAAAGCTATGATGTGCTTATGACTTCAGTGACTATAGAACCGCGTTCCATAGGTTCATTCCACATAGGGAAAAATGGAGATTATTATAGCCTTGTAAGTGGTAGATTTGGTGTTCAAATCAAAAGAGCTACTTTCCAGAAATATACGCCAAAAAAAGTTAAGAAGACTTTAAAACAGATTTAAACAGATTCGACACGTTCGATAAGCAAAGGAATTAGATTTGCAAAAGAAATTTGTTGTGAAAATTATGTTATGATTTATTTTATCTGGTTTTATTTATACAACATCGTGGCTCACCTGTGTCTCAGTCCAATATGCATATAGACATATGGGCGTTTGTATGTATCTGTTTATGTCTATGCATAGTATGTAAATAAGTTTATATGCGTATGTGTGTGTGTTTGTGTGTGAGCTTAACACAACTTTTCGCACGTACATGCTGAGCAGATGTGCATACGCCAAAAAGTATGCAACAGCAAAACGTGATTTCGTTCTAAAATTTCAACGCTTTGCCGCTGTCAAAGGAGAATTTATTTGCGGAACGCATTCATTTGGAAATTATCGAGCAGGAAATTATTGGCCCCTGCAGCGCTCCTGTACCTCTATTAGGTTCCCCTCACTATGCTCGATGCAACAAATAAAATCAAAACTATATGTATTTGTCGCGGCGCGACGTGAGCGTAGAATTTCCACAATAGTAATTTCTTAGCATTTCCCTCATTTCACTCCCAGCAGTAAAAAAAAAAAAAAAAAAAGAAAAAAGATAAACGGTGAAACAGGCAATAGGTCACAAGTTCACTCAAATCAAGCAAATAGCAGGAGCGTTAAGGGTCATTGTGAATCCTTAAGCGCATTGAATATGACCTGTTGTGCCCTTTATAATGAAAGAGCTTTGCATATTGATTTAACGATGGAGAACGTTGCGATCGGGCGCTCTCAACTGCATAATACTCGTTCACAATCTCTGTCAGACAGTTGACGTTTGCCAACTTTCTCTGATAAGTGTCAACAGAGATTTAAAAACAAAAATAAGTATTCCGTGCTATAGAAATGCTAAAAAGATATAACATCGTTAACATAGGACAAGAAAGTCCAAGTCGAGACAGCGTAATTAAGAAATCCGATTTAGCTATGACTTTTCCCTTCTACATCTAATCGTGGGTTTGTATGTAACTGTCTCCCTGTCTACCTACGTGGCGCCGGGATTAACATTTGGGCGCGACTTAGGTTGTGAGTGAATGTCGCCCTATATAAAGGGCAGCAGCTGGTTGGGGTCGTGCAGGGAAGTAAACTGAAGTGAAGTGTATGATCGTTCAACTATTCATTAAGGACTGGAAAGAATACTTGGAGGAAATACTTAATGGAAATACTTAAAGTGAATACTAAACGGAAATACTTACAAGAAATAACTAGAGGAAATAGTTTCAGAAAATACTTTGTGGAAGAACTTCGATGAAATACTTAGAGAAAATATTTAGAGTAAGTACTAAGAGTTAATACTAAAGGGGACTACATAGAGCAATTATTTCTAGGGAATACTTGTAAAGAAATACTTTAAGGAAATACTTAAAGGAACTTCTTGAATATAGGAAGTACTTATAGAAAAAGGATATAGCGATCAAATAGTCAAATAAGCTAAGCAACAATATTTTAATCTGAACAATATTATGATCTTTATAATACTACAAACATTATCACATTAATTGCACCACAGTTGCGGAATTCTTAATTTATAACTAGCTTGCATTTTCATATTTCACTATTGGGAACATCATATAATATACAAGGAGATGTAGAGGTTTGAAAATAAGCTTAACAATAGTTATAAATATATATGTTCAGCAATATATTCACTATGTTTTCCTTCAGAACGGATCAGACCAGACTAAACCAACTGTTCGAGAAATACATGAATATAAATACATACACATATAAACTCAGTACTGATAAAGAAATTCAAACAAATGATTAACTTTCAATGTAGATACAATTTTTTTGTTTTTTTAACAATTAATCATCAAATAAGAGAGTAGTCCCCTTTTGATCATTTGCACGCTTTTAAGCGATTCAATATGACCGGAAAATGTGAACCAATTGATACCCTTTCCTTTTTCGGTATTATTATATTTGAATATTCACAAAAAAAACTTAATTTTCAGATCACCAAAATATATTAACCTCGCGTGGCAATTCTCGTACCACCATTCTTCCGGTTAAAGCTACTGCACAGTTTTTCTCATACTTATCGTTATCCCGATTGCGTGCTGTAAAGTTATGGCCAAGATGTCTAGTCAATGAGTACCCAGCATCTCCAGAATATTGACCCAGCTCTGGCAAAACATACAAGTTATCCTCATTGCCGACGAGGAATAGATTGTACATACTTCAGTTGACAATGGAAGTTTTCCATGACGATAAGCAGTTCCTGGTCCATCTCTTTGGTCAAAAGATGCTGCTGTCCTATGAAGAACTCAGCATTAACATTGCCAAACCCGTTCTTATAGTCTTTCCAATAACGAAAGAAATTAACGCTTCCATCCTCAAGGTTCAGGATGAGTGTCCAAATGCCATTTTGTATATGCTCCTCACATCTGACGCTGTAGTCCGGAATAACAATCTGATAAATTCCACTAGAACGACTCACTGCCGTTGCTTTGGCACAGTCATTCGGAAACTGAGAAGGCAGCCAGTTGGTTGACATCAATTTATCAAATTTTGCTGTAAGCTCGGCAAATTAACTTCTGCGCTCAAGTCTTAAAACATATACAAATGTTCACATACATACATATGTATATATAAACCAAGATTGAAACAAAATCAATTTGAAATGTTCATACTTCAGCGCTTCGAGCTGCGTTTGCAGCTTCATTCCATTCGAGTCCTTAATTGCAAAATGTATTTCTTTTCGATTACCATATTTAATTGATAAATTTCCAAATTCGGAATACATTGTCCATTGGCATCCTCGCACGTGGCAATTGATATGTACATACATACTTATGTAAATATAAATATTGTGCAAATATTAATTGGCCGCATATTTGCAGCTAGTTCTCAATGATGATAACTTCACAACTGAAATATTTGATCATTTCGAGAGCTCTATAACAGATCCCAACGCTTATAAGCATGAATATTAATCAGCTTGAAAAGTTTACGTTGTTCTTAAAAATACTCTCAGGCAGACGTACATATTCTCTTGCCTTTCAATGCACTAGCCACAATTAAAATAAACAGATTAGGATTTTATGATCGTGTTTACACTTTTTGATATATTTTACAGGTAGCTCAACTTCCTATGAAACTCTTTACTAACTGTGCCCTGTATAAAAGGCCTAAATCTAGCCTTCTTAACGTAGTCGCTTTGTGGAATCCAAACTATAAACACATAGGTTAAAATGGAAAGTCCACTAGCATTTATGCAGTTAGAAACAAGCTGCGTTATACTGTTCATACTCGGGCTTACCATAATTCAGTATCTTTTCAATTGTTGGCCAGTTGAGGATAATGGATTGATCACTCATACGCCAATTTTGGTTGCCATTGCCTCTTATAACACAAAGTACTATTCGATCGAAAGATCATCCAGCTGGACCGATGCAGACCACGATGTGAGCTATGGTCAAGTATCTCGGACTCCTATTCACCACATACGTGGCTTGAAGTATCTAAACTTGGAGCAACGTGCTCTGATTATGTCAGGTGTCCGGCGACGACTTGATAAACAGTTCTAAACTAACTAATTTTAATGCTTTATTATTACATATTTTAATATTTTCTAATAAAATTAACTTTACATGCAAACTTTTAGTTTTTTTCTTTAATTAACATTTAATCAGGAACCATACAACACTTTATTGATAATGATATAGCTGATTGCCGTTAAGAATTTTGAATAGTTCAAACTCGAGCACGAAATTTACAGACTTATCGATATGCAAGGCACCAACCGATTAGCATGTTAACTTTAACATTTCTGTTATGGCAACAGCCTATTGCAGACGAAAATGTGACAAGTACGCAAAATATCCGTGTGTGAATGTATTTCAAATTGAAATACACAAATATATGCCTTATATTATAAATAATACTTATTTTATTATCGATGCAGAAAGCTCTACGACATTTGACAGTGAAGAATATACGATTCATGGCCAGCTTCGCACAAGTAATAAACCCAATGACTGGTCAAAACACATGGCAAGAGCGCGGTGATGATTACGATTATCATCAGGAGGTGGCGAATGCCGGCTTTGGTGATATGCTGCACGATTGGGAGCGCAACCAGAAGTATGATGCGGCTATACGCAAAACAATCGCAGGTATGCGTCGGGCTGGTAAAGAAGTTCATGTGCTGGACATAGGCACTGGAACTGGAATTCTAGCCATGATGGCGCTCCGTGCTGGTGCCGATACTGTGACAGCCTGTGAGGCATTCCTGCCTATGGCCAACTGTGCAGCACGTATTCTGGCAGCCAATGATGCCGATCATGTGCGGCTCATACGGAAACGGTCCACAGACATAGTCGTGGGCGTCGATATGCCTCACAGAGCTAATTTGCTGGTAGCTGAACTGCTAGACACGGAACTAATTGGCGAAGGTGCCATTGGAATTTACAATCATGCACACGAGGAGCTCTTAACTGACGATGCGCTGTGTATACCTGCGCGGGCGACGTGCTATGCTCAGGTGGCTCAATCGCCAATGGCGTCTCAATGGAACAGCCTAAAGATTCTACCCGATCTGGACGGCGACATACTGTTGCGACCGCCCACACAACTGATGCAATGCAGCGGCGAGGCTGCGCTCCACGATGTGCAGCTCTCCCAACTGCCGCCCCACTCATTTCACGTACTCTCAGAACCCGCTCAGATCTTCCACTTTGACTTCCAGCGCAAGCAGCCGCTCGAGCTAGCGCGAGAGAATGTCGTACGTATTCAGCTCAGCAGGCCGGGTAGCGTTGAATTGGTTTTCTATTGGTGGCAAATAGAGCTGGATGATGCCGGCGAACAACTGTTGAGCTGTGCGCCCTATTGGGCTCATCCGGAGCTGGAGCAATTGAAGGCAACTTGCACAGACAAACAGCGACCGCTTGCAAACATTGTTCCCTGGCGGGATCACTGGATGCAGGCCATCTACTACATACCTAAGCCTCTTCATCTTCATGATGCTGGCGAAGAGTTCTGGCTGCGATGCTACCATGATGAGTATTCGCTCTGGTTTGACGCACACAAAGAGCAGCCCGAAAAGCCAGCTCAAAGACACAGTTGCAGCTGTGATCTGCACATGACATACACCCGCAATCGCATCGGCCAGCTGAACCAAAGCATTAGGAACAAGCGCTACCTCGCCTACCTGGAACAGGCAGTAAAAGCAAAACCAGCTCACGTGCTGGTAATGGGCGATGGCTGCCTGCTCGGGCTTGCCAGTGCTGCCTTGGGCGCAGCCAGTGTGCACTGCCTGGAACCTCATCGCTTCTCGCGTCGCCTGCTCAAGTCAGTGGTCGAACACAATCAATTGAAAAACGTGAAGTTCTTGGATAGCCTAAAGCAGTTAGACCGCAAGGAGTTAGACACTATTACGCACATCTTTGCTGAGCCGTATTTTCTAAACTCTATTCTGCCATGGGATAACTTTTATTTTGGAACACTGCTGATGCAGCTGGAGCAGCTGCATGAGAAGCTACCTGCCAATGCAGAGATATCGCCGTGTGCAGCTCGCATTTTCGCGCTGCCCGTAGAGTTTCTGGATCTGCACAAGATACGTGCGCCTATCGTTAGCTGCGAAGGCTTTGACCTGAGGCTCTTCGACGACATGGTGCAGGTAAGAAAGATAAGAAATCGGTCATGGCAATTCCTTAACGCTCCCTTAACTTATTTTAGCGGTCTGCGGAACAAGCCTTGTCCCAGGTCGAGGCGCAACCGCTGTGGGAATATCCATGCCGAGCTCTGGCCCAGCCGCAGCAATTGCTCAGCGTTGATTTCGCCAACTTTGGCGTGGAGCAGAGCAACCACGGCAGCATAAAACTGACAGCGTGGGTAGCAAATATCATATAAGTCGCCCATACACTAATCTCTATTGTACTCTGCAGCGAGGGCAACTGCAATGGTATTGCGCTGTGGGTGGACTGGCAGCTGTCGCCCAATGAGAACCTCAAGTCAATAGTAAGCAGCGGACCCCTGGAACCTGTTGAGACCGGCGAGTACGTCAAGTGGGATATGTTTGTGCGTCAGGGCGTGCACTTTATCAACCAAACAACAGCAGAGCAACAATACCTGAATTGGAGCACCACGTTCAGGCCCTTGTTAGGGGAGCTAAATTTCAATTTTTCGCCAAGTGCGAATCGGGAAAAATGCGAATAAAAACAAACAAAAATATAGTACAGGAATTTAGACACGAGTTATGGTAATACACATCATTAATAGTTCTTAAGCCAGTGGTATCTCGTCCTCCATGCGGGTAAGAACAATATTGCGATTCATCTGATCATTGGGATTCTTCAATTTAATGCCATACTCTCCGCCCCTGAGCCGGGTGCGTAAGTCCAAGGCACGAATGTCAGTCATCAGCGCATGTTGTTTGTTTTCTAGATCCACATCGATGGCCTGCGCGTGATCCGAGAGCGCATTGAAGTTAGCCCTAGCATCATCGATCTTCTGTTTGAGAACTCTGCGTATTTCACGCAGTTTCTCCACCTCCTGGCAGAGCAGGTCGTGGGCACGATCCATGCACAGCTCCATGCCGCTACGCTGAGCACGATTTTCCAGACGCGTCTCGGCCAACTTAAGCGAATCGGACTTGTCGTTCAAAGCATCCTCCAGAGTCTTAATCTCGCATACAGCACTGTCCATTTCATCCTTCATCTTCAGCTTCTGCCACTCCAGCTCGTTGCGAGCCCGCTGGGTCTCGAAAATGCGCTTCCTAATGGTGTGCTCTGCACGGTCCTCCTGCGCGTGCAGCATGTTGCGAGCTTTTTCACGGCAAGCAAAGAGCGCCTCCCGTATGGAAGATGTATCAGCCAGTTCATCCTCGGCTAATTGCTTCATGTGCTTCACATGACTTAGCCAAGCGTCATATGAACAGGAGCTAACCATTATATACGAGCAGTTAAAGCATTGATTAAACCAGATTCTGTTATAATTCATACCTTTGGGGATTACGCAAGGGATCTGGCTTATAGGACAAGCTAGAAGAATAACGATCTAGCGCCAGTTGCAAAAAGTCCAGCTCCACCGCCTCAACTTTGTTCTCAATCTCCATGCCTATCTTGTAGCGAATTTCCTCCAGACGTGTCAGCTTCTCCCACGCCTTTTGGCATCGATCGGCCAGCAATCGCTGATTGTTCTCCAATACCATCAGTTCATTCTTGATCTCGTTGTCTGGCTCGTCGTACGTCATCTCCGAGCCCAAGCGACTGTCACGCATAGTGAGCACCTCACTTATGACTGAAATGGGGCCAGCCAACGCGTCCAGCTCACGCTCCGTCAATATTTTCTCGTCCTGCAGTAATTTAATCTCGAGCTCGATGCGATCAAACGTCTTGGATATGATGCTGCGCCAGCTATTCAGCTCGTCAATGCTGAAGAATAATTCAATAGTTACGATAAAAAATATAAATAGAATACCCTACTCGATGCTCACCGATCCCTCAGAGCCTCGTTCGTTTCATAGTTCGCCCACTCGCTCTCAATACGAGTCTCATTGCGCAGCGATCGAGCCGAATGCCTCAAAGCGAATGCCTCAGCACGTCGAGCATCTGCCACGGTTCGAAGACGACCCACGCGTGCATTCCAGTCAGCCAGCGAAAGATGCGGCACTGGTTTCTCCAAAGACGTCACCGATTGAAATGCCATCTTAAGTACACTGTATGTATTCCTTTCGAAATTTATTTATATCTATCTACTATAGTTTTTATTGAAACGAAATTCGTGTTCACAACTATAACTCACAACTGAAACTAATGGAATTTCTGTACTTCACAGCTAAAGGATTTTGTTTATGTCATGACTACTAGATCACCAAGGTATCAAGTTTTCAAGCTGCTAGGCAAGCATTAGAATCGATATAATATATAAACAAGTAGGAATTGAGGTTGGGCGCTACCGACCGCACAATGCTCACTACAGTCCAAAAACGTTCGATTCTTGATTGGTAAGGGATACAGGAATTTGCAATATATTAATATAATTTTTTCGGCTTCCCACTTCTCAATTGGGCGTAGATATATCCAGTATATCGTTATCATATATGTTTTGACAACTAGAGTATACATTTTTCAAATACGCCCCTTTCACTTCGTGAATGAGTATAAACAGTTGTTATTGATTAAATTTATCGGAACTTTAGCTATACAGGGGTTACGTTGCCATGAGGATCTTTGATCCATCGGTGTGTTACCAGGCAATATAACATTCTAGTTTGGGTTGTGTAGTATTTATTGAGTAGAAATTAGTCAAAGCATTACAAAAGTACAAGAGTTTTACGAGCGCATTCAAGGAACGGCCTCAATGTCGAATTTTCCGATTGTAAATCCCTTTGACAATGATTGTTCTTGATTAGTATAAGAGATAATTTATGATGATGTTAGCTGTCTAAACATATTAAATAAATGAGCTGCGATTCGGCTTGTTGACCCTTTCTTAGTCAGAGTATTGTCAACGCACACATTTACGTCTTGGGAATAATGTCCTGCGTATTTGTGATTTGAATATTATAATCAGTTTGGGCACACGGATTGATCACTTCCGTTCCCTTTTGCCTGTCCTTGAATGCTTGACGTATGGCAAGCGTCCGTTTGTCGGTCATTAGCGCATGATCTTTCTTTTCTAAATCCACAGTAAGTTTTTGTGTATGTTGGCCTAACAGATTGAAGTTAGCTCTAGTCTCATCCATTTTTTCCTGAAGACAACGTCGGATCTCGAGCTGTTTCTCCACCTCTACACAAAGCACGTCATAGGGCGTATCCAGGCAGAGTTCTGCATTGCGCCGCTGTGCACGATTCTCGAGGCGGGTCTCGGCCAGCTTTAAGCTGTTTGTCTTTTCCTGCAGCGAGTTTTCCAATTCCTCAATATCCTTCTGCGCAGCCTGCATACCGTCTTTCATCTTGGTCAGCTGGAACTCCAGCTCGTTGCGTGCCTGCTGCGTCTCGAATATGCGTTTTCGGATGATGAACTCTGTGCGCTCCTGTTGGGCTTGTAGTAGAGTAATTGCCTTCTGACGGCAAACGAAGAGCGATTCCCGCATTGCAGCTGTATCTGCCAGTTCGTTCTCGGCCATGCGCTTGATGCTCTTGGTATGATCCAACCAGCTCTGGTAAGAGTAAAAGCTGCAAAGAAGAGAGTAGGGAATTCGACTTAAGCTTTTAGAATTTCAAACAGTGCTTACTTTTTGGGCAAGCGCCTCGGATCCGGCTTATGGGATATATATGTTGAATTCGAATCTAGCTCTCGCTGCGCCCTATCCAAAAGGGCTGCCTCTGTTTTATCTTCAAGCTCAATGCTGATCTTGGTGCGTACATCAGCAAGCACGTTCATCTTCTCCCAAGCCGTCTTACAACACTTTGCCAACAATTCCTGATTGTTCTCCATGATGATCAGCTCGTTTTTTATCTCCGTATCGGGCTCATCGTACGTCATCTCGGAGCCGAGTCGACCATCTCGGCTGGAGATCATGTCGCTGATGACAGCGATGGGCTCAGCGAGCGCATCCAATTCGCGCTCGGTCAAAGTCTTCTCCAGCTGCAAAAGCTTGATCTCATTATCGATCCGTTCGGCCGACTTCGAAATGATTGCATACCAGTTATCCAGTTCGGCAATGCTGAAAACAGGAAATCTCAAGTTCTCGCCAGATTCGCAACATCTCGCTCCACTTACCGCTCAGTCATTGCTTGGTTCGAGTCATGAGTCGCCCATTTCTGCTCGATTTGCGTCTCGTTTTGCAATATGCGAGATGTTCTGCGTATGACCGCGGTATCTGCTAGTCGAGCATTGGCCACTCTGCTGAGACAGCCGACGCGGTACTTCCAGTCGGCCAGCGAGATGTGAGCCAGGGGCTTTTCCATAGTGACCACCGATTTGAACGACATCTTGGCGTATGTAACGTGTATCTGTGTTTAACAATTGATGTATCTTTTCATATAATCTAATGTAGATAGTTTGTGTATGATTGTGTTCCCTTTCATATGTTTTATATATTTTCTTATGTTTTGGTTTGATTTTGTTAGTGTTCTTTATGATGTCCGCGGCGGGAATGAATATTTTATATTTTTAAGCTACTCCTTGAACGAGTTTCTAAGTTTATTTATGCTGTGGCTACTAGATCAGTTAGTTATAGCTTGTCGACTATTGTTAATGGCAACGATAGCATATAAAACTGTTGCTAGGTTGAAGGCGAAGCATATTCTCAATACAATATATTGACGATTTGAAGAAGCTAAAAGAAAACGAGCGCATATTTATTTATGCCGGTATTTTTATTGATAAGTAGAATAAATGGAAAACCCTGATAAAAACTGCTCAGTTCTTTTCTGTAATGTCCTCTGCGTGTGTTAATTCGATGTTTAGATCTGTTTGGGCAAATGGATTGTGCTTGGCAATGCCAGCATCCTTTAGCTTAAATTCTTTGCACACCTCGAGTGCCTTTGTGTCAATCATTATACTGTGCTCCTTTTTACCAATATCAAGGTCGATCTTTTTTGTGTGATCCGATAACAGATTCAAATTGGCTTTTGATTCATCGAGCTTTCTCATAAGACAACGCCGGATCTCACTTAACTTTTCAACCTCCAGACATAGGGAATCGTAGACTTCGTCTAAACAAAGTTCTGTGATGTTGCGCTGGTTACGATTTTCCAAACGTGTCTCAGCCAACTTCAGCGCATTTGTATTTTGAAGCAACGCATCCTCCATATCTTTTATCTCGCTCGTTAATGCCCTTATGTCCTCAACCAATTTCGAGCGCTGCCAATTGAGCTCGTTGAAAGCCTGTTGAGTCTGAAAAACACGATTACGTATATAGAATTCCGTACACTGGTCCTGGCCTTTCAACATGCTGAGAGCCTTGTTACGACACACGTAAAGTGATTCTCGTATGCCAACTGTTTCTTCTACTTCGTTATCAACCATTTGCTTTAATTGTTTGATAGACTCCAGCCAATTCTCATAGGAACAGGATCTGTAAGTAGCACAATTAGACAACACATTCAATCGAACGGAAGCCAAACTTACTCCTTGGGGTTCCGCAAGGCGTCCAGCTTGAATGAAATAGCGTTTGACTTGCAAGTCAGAGACCGCTGTGCACTGTCAATTTCAATGGTTTCCATTTTATTCTTCAGCTCTTCCTCCACCTTGTAGCGCACCACGTCAAGACGCGCCAGCTTTTCCCATGCCTTATGGATGAGCCTAGCCAGCAACTGATGATTGTTCTCTAATATATTAAACTGATTATGTAGCTCTGTGCTGACGGAATCAGCTGATAGCTCTGATGCGTTGCGATCATCGCGGATGAACAACAACTCTCTGATGACAGCTACAGGACCAGCCTGCCACTGCAAGTCCGCCTCTGCTGCCGCTCTTTCCTTTATTAACAGATCGACTTCCTTCATCATGCGATCGAACGATTTGGTGATTAGCTCATGCCATGTCTTAATCTCAAAAATGCTGCACGAAATAGAATGTTTTCTCAACACCTGGCAGTGGCAACATCTCGTCGCTATCACTAGTGTCGCTATGCTTACCGTAAATCCAATGCACGATTCGATCCGTAGTTGGCCCATTCGCCCTCAATACGCGACTCATTACGCAGCAGCCGGGATGAACTACGGTCGGCAACGGCATCAGCACGTCGGGCATTTGCAACATTTCGCAGACGATCGAGCCGGCCTTGCCAATCGAACAGCGATACATGCTGCATAGGTTTTTCCATGGTTGATATAAAATGAAAAGCCATTTTAATGGACTCTTTTAGTTTTTTTTTTTTTTTATGTATGTGTATAATGAACTTAAAGTGTTAAAGTTTTATGTGTGAAATTTGCCCATTGCTAGGCGTTCTAGTTGGATTCTTGAATTGGCCTACTTAATTTTCACATTTTTTGTTTTTTGTTTTGTAATTTTAAACTTGAATCGTTTTCTTAAATTAGTACCATGAAGTGCAAAGTTTTTATTATTTCACATAAATTAAAATGTTATTAAAAAGGCCATAAAATAAAAAAATCGCGCCATTGAGAAGTAATTTCAGGTCTATCGATTCTTTTGCGAATTAACATATGGCCATTATCGATACATGTTATTCACGTCTGCACGATAGCTATTTGAAGTCGATTGCCATCACCAGCAGCTGCTGCTGTTTACAGTTTTTAGGCAACAAATCGCGTTAAAAAAAACTTTTAAAGCCCAAAAGGGGTGTGTAGGCAACGCTTTGTGCTTCTGAGGATAAAAGCCATTAGCAATAGATACTATCTGCGCAGTGTGAGCTACGAGCTACGTTGCTGTGTTACGCTCGAAGCTGCACTTGAAGGTGAAGGACAACAAAGGAAGCAAGGACAGGACGCCACACACAATGGCCACGTGCAATCGCAATCTAAGTGATAGCTGTGACAATGTCACAACGACAACAACAACAACAACAACAACATGCCTTACCAAATGTGCTCCGCCCACTGTCAGCCTCAACGTCCTGCCCGACGAAATTCTGGAGTTCATCTTTACCTATTTACCGCCCTATGGCGATCTGGAACACTGCAGCCTAGTCTGCAAGCGATGGCAACTAATTGTGAAAAGTGAGTGCGAGCAATAGCAACATTATCAAATATAAGACAATACATTAATCTTATAGATCTTGTGCGGCGCTCACAGCTTAATTTGGAAAAAGGGCTGGCAGACTTTCGACTTCGCTGGGAGATCTATTCGCAACAAACCGCCGCTTCCTTGGAGGCGAATAGTCCGCGCCTGTCAACGGGCGCTCCCCTGCCCATCATAGCAGGGCGCTTTGCCCACTCGACTGTGCGATTGGGCAACTCCATGTATGTTTTTGGCGGAGGTTCGTCTTCGGACACGACCTTTAATGATCTCTGGCGATTCGACTTAACGCACATGCGCTGGTCGCGTCCCCTAGCCACGGGAACCTATCCATCGCCCAAAGGGAGTGCCTCCATGGTGGCCTGGAGGGATAAACTGGTACTGTTTGGCGGCTGGCGTTATCCCTCGTTACACCCGCCCTATCAGCCGTGGTGCCTGTTCGACGAGCTGCACTACTACGATCTGGTCAAGGACCGTTGGCTGGCCCGTAACTCGCTGCCCTGCCCGCCACCTATGGCGGGGCACTCGGCTACGGTACATGGCAATTGCATGGTTGTATTTGGTGGCTATCAAATCAAGGACGATATCAATGTGAATTCCAATGATACCTGGGTGTTGGACCTGCAGGAGCAGCGCTGGTGGCAGCCGATATTTGTTGGCAACACACGACCTGCGCCGCGATACGGACAAATCCAAGTGGAGTTGGACAAGCATCATTTGCTGATCGTTGGCGGTTGCGGCGGCGCCAATCGAGTTTACACTGATGCCTGGCTGCTGGACATGTCGCGTGACGCGTGGAGCTGGAAGCAGCTCAATGTGCGCAACAAACATTTTGGTGCCGTCCACATGTGGTGCAATCCTGGCTGCCGCGTCAATAACTTTTTGGTTGTGGTGGGCCCTTCGCCCAAAATGCCTTTGGATTTCCAAATTATGAAGCAGAGTCGCGTGCCCGCTGTTGGTGGCAGCGCATTGCGTTTCGGTGGCCTGGGTCAAGCGCCGGCGCCGCCTCCACCACTCTACCAACAACAACACCCGCTGCTTCGTCCTGGACAGCGTGCTCCGCTGCCAGAGCGTCGCCCCGGCGCCCTATTGCCCGACCAACAAAATCGTGGCAACGGACGCTTCGGTGGCGCCGCCTTGCCCCCGCAGGAACAGTACCTGGCCAACAGGCGGGCCATACTGGATCAGAACATGCAGCAGGCCCAGCAGTTTATGCACAATAATAACGTCAACAACAACAACAATAACTATCAGCCGCGCTCTGGTCGCCTAAGCGATTTGCACTCACCGCCAGCAGCGCTGCCAGCCGCAGCGCCCGCTGCCGCTCCCGCTGCACCGGATGGTGACGCAGATGCGGCGCAGAGATTACAACGTAACTTGGCACTGCGTTGTCGAGACAACGAGCCGCTGCTGCCCAAGCGCTTTGACGAACACTATGAGGTAATCATTATATATATATTAATATAATTGTATAATAAACTTTCATTTCAACTTGTCTTTTCTTAGGATCCGTTTCGGATGGCCGCCTTTAATGTGCCCGGGCGTTCGCGCAGCGCTTCGCGAGATCACAGTGAGCGCATACGGCGCATGGAAGAGAAAATGAACGCCATACGGAATTCACGACGGAGTGCACCCGCCCACGTGGAGCCACAAAAGCTGCGCGCTCCTTCGCCCAAGCGTGTCCGTTGCAATGTCCAGTCGCTGTTCGTGTGCGACATCTCCAGCCTGCTGCAGCGGGATGCGAACAATGAGCCAGGCCTGGATTGGGTGGAATACAAGAACTTTGGTGTGCTGAGCGGAGCACCCGATCGATTAATTCTGTCCAGCCTGATAGCGGGCAACGGAGAGCTGATCCTGTTCGGAGGCGTTCACAAGGAGACGCTGACGGACATCACGCACCATGTGTCCAATTCCATACACTTTCTGAGTGTACCACGTGATATTATCTAAGCGCTGGCACGAGCCACAACAAAATTGAATATAGAATATTTAACTATATATTTATATGTATGTACGATCCTAAGCTATTGCTATCCTTGAAATCTGCGTACAACTTTTGACTTAACTGTATCCTGCAGACCCTTTAAATTCGTTGGTTGCGTTTAGGCATTACATTTGAGGTAACATGTAATATATAATAATTGAGTTAACATGTAATATTATAGTTAATGCGCATAATCAAACAGGATGAACGTCATTTATGGACATGGCTATGTATGTGTATAGAGTCCACTGCTCTCTTCTATTTGGGGCATGTGCTTCGGAGCAGCATGTGTAACGAGAAGGGCAGCACACGACGCAAACACTTGTAGGCTGAGGACCGGCCCCCATGCATGTCGATTTTATATACCAGTTTGTAAAGCCAAAGTCAAAAGCCATGGCAAAGCATCTGCCACCTGCAGGTGGGAATATAAGGAATGACAAAACAGAATGCGGCCAAGTCGAATTATGAGTGC